AGAGGAAACAAAGTTTAGGGGATGACTGGAGCTTGGTCAAAAATGGAAAAGGATAAATTTTACAAAAACCTCAAGACTTTGCGGCGTTTCTCATGAAATCCTCCTATCTTTTTCTTTATCTGATTTGATGAGTAGATCATGATAACATGTTCCTCTTTAATTGTATATACCCATACCTATATAATTATTTAATGAAAATAGTGGGGGCAAGCAAAAAAAAGGGAGGATGAGAAGTGAACATTTCTTCTATTCGTATTGCATCCAGAAGGGTAGAATCATAATTTTATCGTATTTCCCTTTCTTTTCATTTCTCTTTTTTTCCTAGAACTTTCTAAAATATTAGCATGAGCTTTATTAGTAAAGCTCATTTATAATATATTGATTATATTACATATTATAAGGGAAATATGAAATGATAAAGTTTTTTAAATAGATATAAATAAATACAATAAAAAATAATTGGAAATTCATATGTTCCAATGTAAATATTATCGAAAGTGTATATCTAGATACTTAGATAAAAAATTATCAAATAAAATAATTTAAATAAAAAAATACTATTCTAAATAATATTATTTTAGAAAATTACGTCATTCCTCAACTTGGTATATTTGTAACAGTTAATTTCATATAAAAGAATATAAAATATAGCTTATCAAATAAACAAACATCATAAAAAGATCTTGCAAAATTTTATGATACTTTACAAAATTAAAATAATTAAGTTTTAATTTCTGTTGCACGTGTATTTGAACAAGTAATAATGCTAGCACAATATGTTTTCCAGTAAGTGATGGCGGTCGGCGTTGCCAAACAGGCCTGAAAATATTTACAAGGTCCAAGTTTAGTTGGCCCAAAGGTTGGGCCAAAGCCTCAACACTCCCGCAAAACTCTAGTAGCATAACGGTTGCTGCCAAGTCATACAGAAAACATTTTAAACTGCCACATCATCCAAACATTTGGAAGATGCATAAGCTTACGTGGCATATTGTTGTGTTGACACGTCATCAACAGAAGTGCTGGTGCATGAGAAACGAGAAATTGATTGCGTGGCCCTTACACTGAGGGCCCGTTTGGTTAGTTTATTTTGAAGGGGAAAACTGCCACAGATGTCCCATATGTGGTAGCTTTCAGGCAAAATCGCCTCTAAATTATTTTGAAGGGAAAAGCTGCCACAGATGTCCCATATGTAGTAGCTTTCAGGCAAAATCGCCTCTTTTAGAGGCGATTTTCCCTGAAAGCTGTCACAGATGAGACATTTGTGGCAGCTTTCAGTCACTTTCCCCCTAAACGATTTTCCCTGAAAGCTGTCACAGATGAGACATTTGTGGCAGCTTTCAGTCACTTTCCCCCTAAAAAACGGGCAACTAAACGGGCCCTGAGAAATACACCTGCTGGCGATGTCCTTAAAATGCGGAGAGTTGGAGAGGTTGGATTAAATACTTTCTTACCCAAAGTTTGAACTGCTATGTATTTTGAACCCAAAATTTCAAAGTTATGCGGAGACACAAGTAAACAAATATTTTTTTGAGACAAGTGAATACATAGATAATTATATGAAATTTTTCTCTCTAAAAACTAGTGAGGAGGGCACGTGGCAATGCCCGTGCCGGCTCCATTTTGGGTTTATGCAAAGTAGGGGTGTGCAACGGTCGGTTCGGTTCGGTTTTTACCAAAATTTGAACAACCGAACCGAACCGCGGTTCGGTTTTTACCAAAATTTGAACAACCGAACCGAACCGCCTATAATTCAAAACCGAACCGAACTGTATTACAAGTCGGTTCGGTGCGGTTCGGTTCGGTTTGTTCGGTTCTAACTTTATCAAACTTCTTATCAAACAACAAACTGTGTTAAAAAAAAGATATCAACAAAGTAGGAGATTATGAAGCATTAAACACTGATATAATGATATTGTTTTTAACCCATAATGATTCAGAAAATGAGTTTAGGGTTTGAGTTTTTGACTCTTTGGGGACGGATCAGGTAGGTTTGAGATCGAAATGGGTAGTATTGCACTATATTCGGTCGGTTCGGATCGGTTCGGGTTAAAAAGTTTTCAAACCGACCAGAACTGCTCTACTCATAAAACCGATTTTTCTGGATCGGTTCGGGTCGGTTCGGTCGGTTTTTTCGGTTTGGACCAAACCATGCTCAGCCCTAATGCAAAGGGTTATCTAGAAATTAGTCCTTTAAATTTTCAATGATCGATGACAGTCTCCTTAAATATTTAACATTTCTCATAAATTATAAGTTCTCTTAAACCTTTGAAATTGCTCACAAGTCGTGAGTCCTTTAGATCCCAAGGGGTCTTGCAATTTTGTCCCTTAATGACCATAATACCCATTGTGTAATATTTTTTGAAGAGTTACTTGCAATATGGTTTTTTAAAGTTTAAACTTTTCCAACTTTGATATTACAAAGTCTTTTCGACACTTCGCTACCTCAAAGGCTAAACTTTTTTTTAATAACTTTGATATCCCATGTTTGCACATTCTTTATCCCAAAATTCACATTCTTTAACTATCATATCCTAAAGTTTCCTTATTTTTAACTTGGTCCGATGTTTATCTTTGACATGATTAATAATAAGACGTACAATTGTGCCACATGAGTAGAAGGGACAATTCCACTCTATCCCAATCAAATTTTCATTATCATTTCAATAATATAAAAAGACTGAAGAAAATACTGAAGCATCAGTAGCATATATTCACTTTCCTCTATTAAAAATGAGGGCTTTAAAGACTGATACTTTACAGAAAACTATCACGAGCAATTCGATCTTTAATTTACCACTAACAAGTTTGCCACTTATGGCCCATTTATTATTTGTCACTCATTTATGGTCCATTTAGTCCCTATGCCCATTAGCTCCTTAAGTTGTTACAAAGCTTCAAGAAATGTCCCGAGAGCTTCCCAACTGAGAGCTTAGATCAGAGGAGAAATGAGGCTCACTGTAGTGGAATTAGGAAAAGTGGACTTGGAGGTGGAGGATGGGATGATATTCATGCAGTGACTTCATCCATGAAAGAAAGGGAGATAAGCGGCATTGTAAGGGCATTATGGACATTTCATAACCTAAGTAGGTAACATGGATGACAAGCACCGTAGCAAAATTACCTCTTTATAAGTAAAGGAGATCAGCCGAAAACATTCTTCATAAAAAAAAAAGATAAGTTGAGAAACAAAAGTGAGGGTAACCAAAGGCTACTGTAGCACTAGACTCTTTTTATATAGAGATCGAAAACATTCTTTATAAAAAAAACCAGCCACTGTTCAAACACTAGTGGCCAAGAGGGGAGTAGTCTAATTACTGTTGCAAGACGACTCTTCATCCCATGACATGGCTCAAGTGGATGATAACTTCTCAGGAATCAAAATGTTGATCTAACTCTCTTTTGTACTTACTTACATACAAATATTGTCTAATCTCTTTTTGGTTTTGATGTAAGTACTAGCTCCATGGTAGCTAGTGACGGAGCCATGTGTAGCTTGCCCTGGGTAGTTGCCCAGGGCAAGATTCAACTGCTAAAAGATACACTAGGCAAAGGAAACTCAAATGTACCAAAACCAGAAGAGAAGAGTCCACTTGTAAATGGAGTTGGGAGTCAAATCAAGCCAGGTAGTGTACTAAACAACTATGAGAAGAAAGAGAGGCCATGAGGAAAAGAAGAAATTGAAATGCTACGAAAAGGGATGGTAAAATATCCAAAGGGAACGTCTCGGAGGTGGGAGGTAATCTCAGAGTATATTGGCACCAGAAGATCAGTTGAAGAGATACTGAAGGCAACGAAGACTGTTCTTTTGACAAAGCCAGATTCTACTGGGCCCATCAGTCCTCGGCTGCATCCACGGATTTCCCGACAATGTGTTCCCCAAACGCAACTTGACAGTGCTCAACACAATCGCCAACATCGGCCTCCTCTACTTCCTCTTGCTCAACACAATCCCTTTATTTTTCGTCCAGGGTAAAAATAATCCTGGCTACGCTACTGGTGGTAGCTCTAAACAATGTATACTCTCCCTTTTATCCTTTTCTAGCCTGTTTAGTCTGAGTTCTCTGTTACAACTTTCTCTTTCCTTGGTAATAAGTGTCGGCTATAGCCCTCTCCTTATTCTTTGGTATGGACAAATTATTTTCTTCGATATTCAGACTATTCACTTCTAAGTTAGGATAAGTTTTTGGTAACTTAATGATACATGAACAGAGTGCCTCACCTTGTTTCTTTCTGTCAAAAAAAAAAATCAGCGAAAAACAGAGGGGGGGGGGTGGGATATCTGACCCACCTAAGTAGGACGCCACAAATGAAACCAAAAACTATTGTATCAGTAGCATCTTTTTATATAGAGAGTGAAATATACTGTAGATATTTCTCATGAATAATGCCTGGTTATCTAATAGTATAGTTTTGAGAGAAATCTTACCAATTTCCTGATATTTATTCCCCCCCCCCCCCCCCCATTTTTTAAAAGTAGATGCTATATATATTTTGATCATAAAAGCCAAATTTAACAATGCATATATTTTTTTCTTATGTAATCTATCATTTCAATTTCTATATTTACTTGTGGTATGTTGTATGCTCTAACGTCATAGATATCTCAGCAGATGGGGAGGAGCAGAGAGTAGAGAGTATGCGTGTCATATTGATGTACTTTAGCTAAATTCTCAGCATGTAGATTAATTTTTGGTTTTGTCACAAACTTAAATGACATTTGGATGTAAAGGAAATTATTTCCAAAATTTTGGACATGGAAGCAATCTCTCCCGAGCTGTACTTTTTCAAAATTTGCCACTAAGTTTCCCTTGAGTAGCTGCAATCTTTTTGCTTTACTTGCAAGCCTCCGCGAAAACACTTTAGCCAATCCTCCAAGTCTCCAACACTTTCAATAACCAATTATTATTGCGTGGCCTTAATTCAAGCCTTCAAACCAAAGCCCCTCACAAAACAAGAGAGAGGGTTGCACATTTTGTGACTTGATTCTAAAGTTTGCACTACCTACTCGCAATACATAAATATTTATCTGGTTGGTCCTTTAATGCCTATAAAAGCAAAGTTCCGTCCTCTTCTTTTCTTCTTTTACTTTTAGTTAATGTTAATTATATTCTCTCCATTGCTTGATATTTGTTATTGTTATTTATTTATTTTTCAGTAGAAGAAAATGCGTATGAGTTTCGGAATTTTTCGAGGTTGCAAACACCAAGATCAAACAGTTATTTAGTACTTTCAACGGGTTATTTTTTCCCCTCACTTTTATTGAGGTTTGAGTCTACGTTTTCAAATTCAAGTAGGCACATTAGTTCGGATGAAATTGTTTTGCATTTATGCCCCAATGCTAAAACTATACGGTTAAGGTTTAATGTCAAATATGCATAATTTATCTGGCTTACCTTCTATGGTTAAATCATGATTTTTGTGAAGTTTTTAGGTTAAAACATCCTAGTATTAGACATGTAGTTTGCGGGAACGAACAATTATCGTGCACGATATAAATCTTCCAAATATAATGTGGTAAAAAAGATGAGGGATAAAAGCTCACACAATTACATTCTACCTCCAACTAGATATTAGCCTTGTTTTTCTTTATCTGGAACGAAAATTTACGCTGTATTTTTTTTTAATCCAAACTCCCTTTTATGACCAGTGAAATGTGACCCGGTGGCCCCCATCTCATACACAAGCGTCAACCTTCGCGAGGAGTACGCCAACGCGTTCCGCACAGAGTCGTACAACGAGTTGTGGGCCCGGGTCCTCGACCCCCGACCAGCCTACCGTCACAAACATTCTCGCCCGCACCCACGCCAGCACCCACCCAATCGCCCGTACTCTCCTCGCTAACTTCTTCTCAGAGACCGCCGACGCCTCCCTCCTCTGTGGGCTCTTACTGAAGGGCATCGACCATATCCGTACCCGTTATCGCCCGCTAAAATCCGCCATCGGATCCGATAACCCGCAGTCCGTTAACCAGCTACTGACCGACTTGAACCCGTTTAATTCTTCGACCTCAGCTCAGTTTCAAGCGGTCCAATCTGGCTCGACAGGTTTGCTCAAGCAGCTCGAATTAAACCGGAAGAAGACCAGGGCAAAGTTGCGGGCAGCTACGCGTGCGAGGCACGGGTCAGCGGTCCTGTTCGTAGCGCTGGTGACCGCAACTTCCTTGTTCGGCGCGTTCGTCGCGGTCCACGGGCTGATTGCCCTTGCCGCGCTCCCTGGTCTGGTTCTTGATTGCGGTCGGTTAGATCGAACCCTGGCCCAGCTCGACGCCGCGACCAAGGGGATGTATATTTTGAATCGGGATTTGGACACGGTAAGCAGGCTCGTGGAGCGGTTGACCGATGAGGTCGAGCACGTTGTTGGCCTGGCGAAGTTCTGGGAGGAGGAAGGGAGCCTGATGAACGAGATCAGAAGAGAGGTGTCGAGGAACGACGCGAGTTTCAGCCAAAAATTAGATGAACTCGAGGAGCATTTGTACCTCTGCTTCTTGACTATCAACAAGGCTAGAGGGATCGTGATGAAAGAGGTTTTGGTGGGGAATAAATTGCCAATTTAAATCTGATTTTACAATGCTGTTTGAGGTTACATTTTCATGCGGTGAGGATTGTGCAGCGTTAAATTGTTGGAATAATAATGTAAAGCGCGCAATTAATTTTTTTTTCCCTTCTCCTTGTATAAATGTCTGGTAAATGTAATATGCCTGTTGGTTTCAAGATAGGAAATTCGAGTTACCTTAAATAAAAGATAGGAAATTTGAGGGTTAAATGAGTACACTATTCTTTTTAGGAAACCTCCGTGTTGTGAATATTACCTTTTGCTTGTTTTACTATCCACTTTTGACGATCATGAATATTATAATTTATGAACTTTTTTTTTGATATTTTAGTATTATACTTTCTGACCTTTTTTTATATCTTACATTTCAAATCGTATCATATAATATCATACTTATTCTCTTTAAAAGCACAAGTTCGGGAAAATTTTTCGATAGATAAAAAATACCCTTAGAATTCAAATACTAATCCATTAAGTAAGAGTAAGTTGATAAATTGATGAATTCTTATTGGATATACATAGTATGAAGATAAAGATATATAGTTTAAATTAAAATGTAAACCTGAATGAAAATATTAAATGTCAAATTTAAAAATATCTATTCTTTTTATCAAATCTCCGTGTTGTGAATATTACCTTTTGCTTGTTTTACTATCCACTTTTGACGATCATGAATATTATAATTTATGACCTTTTTTTTTGATATTTTAGTATTATAATTTCTGACCCTTTTTTATATCTTACATTTCAAATCATATCATATCATATCATATCATATATATACTCTCTTTAAAAGCACGAGTTCGGAAAAATCTTTCGATAGACAAAAACACCCTTAGAATTCAAATACTAATCCATCAAGTAAGAGTAAATTGATAAATTGATGATTTTTTATTGGATATACATAGTATGAAGATGAAGATATAGTTTAAATTAAAATATAAATCTGAATGAAAATATTAAATGCCAAATTTAAAAATATCTACAAGATGAAGGGCGTATATATAAAAACCAAATAAATTAACGAGACAAATAACGTCTGTCCCAAAGGTCGAACCCAGGAACAGTACAGACCTACAAATGTACATAATGTGGACGAGATATTTGTAAAATCCACCAAATAAATTAAAGAGACAAAAGTTATTCTTAAAATTATAAAAAAATAATTAAAACAAACAGTTGCGACCTGATGACACAACGTGGCGATCTCTCTCTGACTAAAATTCATAATCTATTTACCCTTTAAAAGAGGGAGTTCATGAAAAACTTTACCTACCCTAAATTGCTCTTCAACAAATTTAAATATATCAAAGTTATCCCTCTGCATTCAATGACATGTTAAAAGGGAATTAGTTAATGTGAGCAGTAATAAATAATTTGATATAATAAATAATTTATGAAATTATTTAATAAATTATTAAATATTGATTATTTAATAAAGTAATTTAATAAATTAATAAATTATAATAAATAATAAAACTCGTACGAGTTTGGCGTCGACAGTTTCAATCCCACGAGTTTAGTGCTTTAGAGGAGATTTATTCGTATAACATCTTCTTTGTTTTTATATTTATATAATAAATAAATATATGTCTAAAATGGTTCCGCCTCCTTTACATTTTGAGAGGGGGCTATTCGCAAAAAGGGTCGGCTGCTATTCTTTTCGCTTCTCCTTCCATCGTTTCTCCTCTCTTTAGAAATCAAAAGCCCTAGAATATCCCCGTCGGTTACGCCTTCTCTCCAGTAACGCTTCTCCTCAGCCAGCGTCGTCCCACGATCTTAAGCCATCAATTGCCCAAGATGATTACTATTGTCATCATCATCAACGCAACGCCTCCGCCATCTCCTAAGTTCTCACATTTGCCATCATCTATCTCTCATCGGCCTGCAGCTTTGGAGTTTGGCATTGAAAAACTTTTTATTCTCCTTTATCAAGGTACTATCTCCCTTTCTCCTCTCTTTTAATTGTCGACTTATGAGGTCAAAGTACAATTAAAATCGATTTTGTTTGACTTTATCGACACTCAGCTCGCAAAAGTGCACTCAGAGACGAAAGCTCTAAGCTTTCGGCACAACTGCGCTTCTCTTTGTGCTCTGATGCTTTATTATGCCCAAAATGGAAAATTTTCCAATGCCCAAGCTTTATGGGGTGAGATCATAAGTAGTTCATATAAGCCCAGCATTGAAATTGTTTTCGCCCTTATGGAAGCTTATGCAAAGTTTGGGGAATTTGATGAGATAGTTAGAATTGTGCTGGAATCCTTTATCCATATTAACACTTCTATAATGACACATATATCTGTGCTATACTAAATTATATAATTATTACTCTATAATAATATGCTGTACATGTAATATAATCTCTGTTTATGTCACTACTGTAAACCCATCTTCATTGTGCTTTGCATAAATCAAGAAAGCTCCATCAAATGAAAACACAAAAAAGATATGACACAGTCTTACAAATTCAAAGAAATTAAGAGCAAAACAAAGTCTTAAAATAAGATAGAAAATTCAAATGAAGGTTAAATTAATTGAATCCAGTCTTTAACGGAGAAACCGCAAACAAAATCTACTTAAAACCGCTATAGTAGGATTGTTGCATGAGATTTAATTCTTGCATTTGAATTTAGTTTATTTTCTTGCACTACAATTAGTTTTTATGGCAATTGATATTTTTCTAATTTTTTCTTTTATGTTACAGGAATAAGTATTTGAAGGTTGTTGATTTTCCCATTTATCCAGGTAAATATTAATGTTTTAAAAAAAAATGAAGTTGGTTTATTGGATTATATATTTATTGATTGAATTAAAATAGAAAACAGAAATTATTTTTTGGTATGCATGCTTTTATTTAGTTTAAATATATGTTAAATGCTAAACTTTCAATTCTAAAGAGATGTTCTTAGCATCCTCAAGGCATCGTCATTTACTACTTGGGTGTTGGATGATTTATTCTTAGGCTTGAATTCAAAACAGATCTAATTATAAAGTCTGTCAATATAGTTTATAGTGCTTATTGTAGAAATGTAGAATTATATTGTATTACTTTTCTTTAGGAACTTATGTACTTTATTTATATTTATATGTTTTTTTTCATGTTTTGTGATATAAACCTTTATATCATAGAAAACTAATTGATATAATTCGGAAGCGCATTTTTGATTCTAGCAGACGAAATTTCATTGGTCTAATTTTTGGCTACCCGATATATATTTATTGTATTTACTATCTAAATTAAATAAAGATGGAGATAATATCGAGCAAGTCCTTACATTTATTTTTGACCATAGAGGCGCCATATGAAGCCAAGGTTACTCATCTTCCTCCAATTTTCTTGCATTTTTGTTGGTTCCAACTTTGCAGAAACTGACAATGTATCTTTTATTTTTGTTTTAACAAATACTTTGCAAATACTTTGCAGAAACTTTGCAAAAACTGTAAACCTTCTAGAAAGTTTTTAATATTTCTGTGTATTATTACAGTAGACTATTGATTAATTATGAAAATATCATGTGATGCACAATGATAATACAAAATGTAGGTATGCAGTTAAAATCATAGTTGAAGATGAGACGGGTACTGCAAGAGTGACACTTTTTGATGCAGCAGAAACTCTTATAGGATGCAAGGCACAAAAATTCATGGCTGATATAAAAGAGGTAACTTCTTACTTTATTATATTTTAAACATATAAAACCATATGTTTCATGTATAATTAATTAATTGTTTCCTAATTAAAACAGAAAAATAATCAGAGTTCGTTATTCCAAAAGTTTGTGCTAAACATTGGAAAGACATACACATTCCTTGTGAAGTTAGATGAAAACTCAAAGGATGAACGAGCACAAGGAAAGACAATAGCACAAGAAATTCAACTCCAAGAAGACAACACAATCAACATTGAAGACGATGATGCAATTCTTGAATTACCAAAAAAGAAGATAAAGGTCGAGAATGAATGATCAACGAAAAAAAGTTTAACATGAACAATTTTAAATTTTTAATACATTTACAAATATGTTGGAGGAATTTTATTTATCTTTTTGTATGCTTTTATGAGGATTAACTTATGAATGTTATTTGTTAGAACAATTTATGAATTACAACAATATGCACATATTGTTGTCTCATAAATATTGCATGCTTTGATTTTTTTGCTGTTATTAGCTTAAACTTATCGCTCAATTATGTCAAGCTAATTACATATTTAACAAATACTTGACTTTATTACTTTTAAAATGCATTTGAAATATTTTTGGGTTATCTCGACACAATGTTATGTTGACGAGTCTTTGAAAAAAAAGGATTCAAATCATGGACAAATTCTATAAGATGTTATTCAAAAGTGTAATGCCAAATATTTTTGTATGATGGCTTTCATGTGTGTGGATTGACTGAGATCTATGCCTATCGTCTGCATCTTTGTTCTGAGCTCCCTCCTAGCGAAATCTGGACTAAGAAATCTGGACTCTATGCCTATCGTCTGCAACTTTGTTCTGAGCTCCCTCCTCGCGAAAGGTATTCAAAAAATACATTTGTTTGTTAATTTTATTTCTTTATTAATAATCAATTTCAATATACATACCATTTGCTTTCACTGATAACAAAGTGTTTGGTGGGATAAGTTCAATAGCCATAGAATGGATTATACACGACCACATCTCATTGACCTGACATACTCAACACGAATTGTCATCATAAATCTCACCTTCAGAAACTTTTCGTTTTGGAATATCCAACCAGTTTATTGCAGGTTTTTTCCCTTGTATCTTTTAAGACTTGATCAACTCTATTTTTAAATCTACTTGTTGATGCACGAGTGAAACTTTAATAAAAATACAACAGACTTGAGAATATTTTTGCTGGATTAAGAGCCAAGTCTTTCTCCAAAATGTCATAATCATTGGCCCGCTTGATTATCCAAACACAATTGTAATAGATCCAGGTTAGTTTCATAATTTTTTTTAGTACATTGAATAATATATTTATTGTTTGCCTTTAAACATATAGCATTTTATATAAGTAACAAAAATCATAATATATGTCTTTTGTTTTAGATAGAAAATATTATTGCGTTTCTCATTTAAGCATTAATAATTAATTTAGAAG